GCAGCGGTAATTCCTGTGACTTCTAGTAGCTAGGAGCACGGTTTGTCAAAAGTGTGTCTATTTAAGGGAGCCCCGGGTAGTAGCGGAAGCAATAGTCGTGGTGGTGGCGGTGGTGGTGGAACAGCAGCGCCGACAGTCCTGGCAACCACCAAACAAAACATAGGGTACACTTACACGAAGGGTCCAAACTAACTCTATAGTAGCATGTAGGTTTTCTATATTAGGAATTACTATTATGATTGCGGGAAGTATTCCCCACAACAGTACCTAGGACCCTTTGGGTTACACACTCACCAATCGATCAATATGCCTGAGAAGAGCCCCTCTGGCCCCGCTCCAAAACCCGAACATCGTCCCCAAACTATGTCCTACACGATTGCGTGTCCAGGGCAGCGGGCTTTGGGGTTCAGGGCTTTAGCCTTTTGGGCTTTGGAGCCTCTGAGATTGATTGTGAGGTCTAAAGTACTCATAATGCAGGGGCCCCAGTAATTAGCAGGCTGTTTGGGGACACATAAGCGTTCCATTCTAAAAGAAACTCTACAAAATCATTAGTGCACGACCTTGTGAACCCCTGTGGTAACCCTTCTAGAACCTTGTAACGGAAGCCTTGCACAACTTTGAACTGAAATTCCCGCAAAAAGCATTCACTTAGGGCACCTTCCATAGTTCGGCCGGATCTTCCACCAGCTGCTTACCTCGAGATCCCCATAGGCCCCATAGTAGTTCCTTTTAGGGGTTCATATTTAGAATCCTATAAGGTAATCCCAAAAAGGAACTACTATGGGGGCCTATAAATAGGGGCTCCTTCAATCGGGATCATAAGGGCTCCTATGGGAGTTTCCGAAAATTAGGGGTACCTTATTTTGGGGTCCTCATAATAAGGATCCTGCTAAAAGTATTTAGGGTGCTATATTAGGGTCCCCTATTTTCGGAACTTCCCTATGAGGAATCTAAACGTGTTCTGTAGGGAGGCTCCAGTGTTTGGGGGTTTAGGCGCTAGAGCTCAGGGTCTGTTCCATGGACCCTGAGGAACCTTCCTTTTTAGGGTTCCCTAATGTGATTTCTTTATACAAGTCCTTAAAAAGGCAGGTTACTTGGGGGTTAAGGTTATGTTTGCGCGACCTTGCGGGTTTGTCGACGGGTGTTCGAACTGCGCCAACCATCGTCGTTTCTTGAGGAGTGCCTACAGCTATTCAATCTTTCAGCAGGCAGTGGCACAATTTGGCGAGGTATGACCCGTTTTGGAAGGCCCGCATGGCATGTAAACAACAACAGACCCAGCAAGTTAGACTTGCAAGAGTGACCGCCCACAATATAAACATTAACCCGGCGCCATTACCGGATTTCCAGCAAGGATAAACTGAGGGATTCAGGGTTCAAGGGTCTATATTGTGAGCGCACAAGATTCGTTATACCGCCCGATAGTTCGATAAACCGCTTCTAAATGCCTCTACAAGGGTTTAGGGTTGAGGGGGCTTCCTTGCAGTCAGGGTGGCCATCTTCCGGCGGTAGAATGGGGAAGACGATGGCGAAATGCCAAGTCCTCACAGAAGTCGCACGGTTTCAAGACCCTAGGACCGTAAGGTAACCAATGCTCCGCCCCAAAACTTCCGAAGGCTCTCGCGGCTAGTCTTTTCCATGATGATTTGGGTCGCTTCCTGAAGTCCCAACGTAAAGTGCTTCGCCTCAACCCTATACCCTGCAACCCTGAAGCCCTAAAGCCTAAAGCCTATACTCTAAACCTGAGGCCACTGAGAGGATAAGAGAACGGATCCATAACTCCGAAACTGCACTTAGCGGTACATTGCTTGCTCCTTTGAACCAAAGCCCAACGATACTATAAGCCCTAAGTCCATACACCCTGAAGCCTGAACCCACCTACCGTACCCCCCCCCGCCCCGCAAAAAAAAAAAAAACAAAAAACCTTGCTCAGCCGAACCCAAGTGAGAGTTTCCGAAAATTAAGGGTACCTTGCTTTGGGGTCTTTAGAACGAGGATCCGACTACTTAGGATACCATATGAGGGGTCCCCGCCCATTTTTGGAAACTCCCAAGTTCCCACACCCTGAATCCCCAATCACTAGCGGATCAATGAGTCGAGAAATATGGTTTCTGGGGGCCTTGTTAAGTACAAGTGGCTTCTTGCATTGTAGCAGACTAAGATAGACCCATGTATATCATGTGTGGACTTGATGGGGTATATTTTTGGTAATGATGCCGACCTTTATACTACCCTCACTAGAGCCCTGATGGCACTTATTCTAGCCAACGAAATACCATTTGTAAGAAAAAACAAATCCGCCGAGGCCGCAGGCCCAGGCGTATTGGGGGTTAACTCAGGTGCCCTCCACCTAATCCTCCTCCCTGCAATCCGAAAGTCCCCCCCTCCCACCCACCCCCCCCCCTTTATTTTGCCTGCTTTTTGCCCTCCCCCCCAGCCCTCCCCCGCCCCTTGTCCTGCTGTGTTTAGCGCTCTGCCAACCCCCCCCCCGGCCCTCCAACTTCTGCAACCGCTCTGCTCTTTCACATTACAGAAGCAAGTCGATGAGTTCTGTCGCCGTGCTGGTCTCCGGCAAGCCGAGGCCGGCGGGGTAGCGTTAAAGCTATATCATAACATCAACAAAACTCTGATAAGCCAAACCCCTGAACCCTAAACCCCAAACCGTAAGCCACCAAAACCCCCCCACAACTTCAACCCTGGCTTCGGTTCCTCACACGGCGGCTGAGCTCAAATCCGAGCAAGTGTATTTGCTGCTTCACCTGCCCATGCCGGAACTCCACACCCTCACTCAAAGTTTGAGGGTTTTGGGTTTAGGGCTTGTGGTTTAGGGGGTTTAGGGTTTAGGGTTTAGGGTAGGGTTGTATCGATGGTAAGTTTCTCATGGCGAACCAACTTCAGGGTTCGGATCGTACCACGAACAAGGTAGCCAACAAAGGAGCTACGAAGGAGACCTTCGCCAGTATGTGTTGGTGCCGCACGGCTCTCGTACGGGTTTACTGCGACTCACGTTATAGAGCTCATCATGCTTTGCCCAAGCGGTTTACAAGGGCTCTCTGACGGCTTCCTGCTATATCCCTAAGGCTCCAAAGGACAAACTAATTAGGTACTCGGTTTTAGGATCTTAGTTATGTAGGTTAGGATTTTGGAGAGCAGATGATTATCAGGTACTTGGACCCTTAGGGTATTGGACGCTTCCCATGCGCATGGCTTATAATATTATCTGACAGCTTATGGACGGAGTGGGTGGGATATCTGCGCCCTTGTTCTGTACTGGCTGGGATTCCGTGGCTTTCGGCCTGACTGTGCCAGCGTCTTGTCCTTCCCCGGCTGCTGCGAGTTGCGAACTTGAGCAGTTTGAGGCTTCGAGAAGTTCAAGGCTCTTGTTGCTGTGGGGAATTACACAGGTTCCGATTTTTTTTGCTTTGGGGATTGCAACCAACCTATAGTCTCCATTGTAACTCCTTTTTTGGGGGTTACCGTTTAGGATCCTTAATATAAAATTGGTTATTAACTACAATGGAGACTATAGGAAGGGTTCGAGAATGCGAAACTACGCTGCCCCACGAGGTTGCAGTTGCTACAGCTGGGGGTGTTCCGAAGACACGTAAAGCCCAAGCCGTGAGGAACTCGTTTGGCCGGTTTGGGATCAAGTCAGGTATGTTGAACAGTTAACGGAACTAGCCGTTCTGGATCATACATCTTAAGCTTAGCTGGCTACGAGTCCTGTCAGTGACGGCGTAACTGCGTTTGTGGTTCCCGCTCTCTCGAAAGCCTCGAGTAAAACCAAAAAAACCATAGGAAAGAATCCTAAACCAAAACACTCAACAACCCTATCGAAGAAAGCACTACACTGTCCCAAAGCCCTACACCCTACTAGGCCCTACTCGCAGCCTCTGTCCTTAAAACCCTATAACCTGCCCTAAACCCTGCTCTCTCAGCCTCTCTTCCAGTCAGGAGGGGCTCGACGGCCGTGTCAGTGCCTTTTTCGGTTTCCCGCGCCATCGTCCAAGCGAGCCCAAAACGCCTTGAGTCAGGATCCTTACTCCAAGTAGTCACTCCCCTAAACAAGAAACACTTACATACCCCACCTGCAGGATCCTCGTGCATAAACCCTAAGCCCCAAACCTCCGGCCGTAAAACCTCCACCCTTCAAGTTACCATAATAGGGAACCATAGAAAATACTTTGGTCGTTATCACGCTAACCTGAATTAACCCCCTTAACAAGAGCCACTTAGCTACCTTCGAAGCAGTAGCTCTTTGTTTAAGGGCTTGTTCGGCTGTGTGGCTTTGAGGCTGGAGCCGCAGCCTGCGGAAAAGAAAGACAATTCAAGCTTCCCCACCCAAAGGGTCCTACTTATAGTCTCCATTGTAGTTCCTTTTTTGGTTGAACCAATTCTATCTCAAGGATCCTAAAAGGCAACCCCGAAAAGGAACTACAATGGAGACTGTAGGTAGGTACTGTCACGGGGGATACTTCCCAAAAACATAATAGTACTTCCTCACATAGAAACTCTAGATTCTACAATGTAGCTACTCAGGACCCTTTGGGCCGGAGACACCGAAGTTCCCTAACTATGGTGTGTAGAATAGATTTACGGGGAGGGGAGGGGGGGGGGGCGGTAATGCTCCTTGATCAAGCTATTTGCCTACTTGCATCTATTTATCTATCGGTGTAGGTTTAGGGCTTAGGGTTTACCCTAAACCCCCTTAACGGAAAACCCAAACTAAACCTTCAGGGTTGGGGTTTAGTCTTACCAGGAGCCTGTGCAGAACCATCTGTCAAGCACGGCATTGCCCCTCAATTACAGGGATCAGCCGGATTCACAGCAAGGCTTGGTGCATTCCTCAATTAAGTTAGCACCCTAGACGGTTGTATAAGCCCTGATCACCCTGTATATACTATAGAACGAACTTGTAATGCTCCTCCTTAGCAAAGCATGAACACCGGTAATTTCTCTGTCTCCGCTACCATGCAAGTCTGTACATCTGGCCGTTGACGTCACCAAGACTGAATCGGCGCATCTGGCAAGGTCAGCGCTTGGGTCTTGAAGCTTAGGGAAGGTTCAATTCTACCAAATGGGGTTTTGGTGGTTTCTTATTAGAATGATAGTAATTATACTATCCCCCAAACCCTATTCTATGTATAAGGCCCCGAAAGTAGGTAGTCTCCCTTGTCGTTCCTTGTGTTTGGTTGCCGGCTTAGATTTATAGGATCTCAATGGCATAGGTCAACCAAGCAATCGGACTCAACAGAGACTATTCTACAGGTAAACCTCAAGCTCAAACACTCAGCCCGTTGTACTTGAGGTTCAGGTTCCGGAAACTTGCTTCGTACTTTCGTTACAAGCCTGCACCATATGGGAGTTTCCTTTCCGAAAATTAGGGGTACAGTATTTTGGGGTCCTTGTCACAAGGCTCCTGCTATTTAGGGTACTATATGAGGGTGCCTACTGTTGATGATATAAATCCTGCCTTACCCATAATAAGGAATAAACCATAATTCCCATAGTTTAGGGTCCTTAAGGTAATGCAGGATGTATGTCATCAACCGTATCTTCGGAAACTCCCAGATCTGCCATGGAATGCATGAGCCTTTCAACTGGGCCCCTGAGCCCCCGAGACTTTCCTGTTGGCCTTGGTTTGGTCCTTCTTTGTGGCTAGGATACCCAGTAACCTAAGAAGAAAAAGGCCTCTCTTTTCGGTACTGGGTAACTTTATAAGGACCCTAGAACTACAAAAAGGGAATAAGGGTATTACTGGGCATCCTAGGTGGTTTAGGGTTAACGTTTCGGGCCATCACTTCAGACGTCATGACCCGCTGTTTCGTAGGGTCTGGGGCTACCGTTGATCCTGAACTACGACTACAAGCTGCTCAGACAAGCATATAAGAACAACTCCTGGAACCTAGCGGAGTTAGCAACACCTACCTTGAAGAGGAGCTGCATCACATTTAGGCTCCTTGGGATTCAGGTCAACCTTAAACGCCAAATCGTACACAAACGCCTCCCAAACCACCAAAACCCTCAAACCCTGAATGAGCCTCAAGCCCTGAATCCTGAATCCTGAATTGAGAAAACCCCAAACCATAAACCCTACAGCCGTTCCTTCTCCGTGGCTTTCCGGGGTGTCTTGTCGGAAGGCCTGGCATGGATTAGAAGTTAATATCGAGGCCTTCACTTTCAATTAAACTACGGAAAGGGCTCCTTTTGAGTTAAACATTAAAGGGAACTCCAGAAAGTTGGAATATGGTTTCAGGGTAGGATACCTTATAATTTACCATAAAGGGTTTAGGATAATCATATTCCAAAATTCTGGCTTGTACTTTAAGTCAAGAGTTGCTTGATTTCAGGGGCGCTGACAATCGGAATATCGCTCCTTTGAAGACTTCTATAATCAGCGACCTATGATGCAGGTTTGTAGGGTAGTATAGGAGCCTCATTTATTAGAATAGGTTTTTGGGGTATATTGCACCATCCATAGGGTCAATGTAGCGGCAGTATATACTTGAGTGCCCAAATAGCTACTACTACTAAGAGCCTGCTGTATTGGCACTTGGACCCGTTGGGCCATGGTTCTACAACAAATCCGGAGGAAGAACATAGCCTTTCAAACGTCTCTGTGAGGCTGGCTCCCTTATGCCGGAAAAAGCAGGGGCTGTATGGGACTTGTAGAGTCTTCGTTACAGAGTTGTATGAATTACCAAACAAGTTATCCATTGGGATTTTATTTTAGGAGGGTTTCAGAATGGGTTTATAGGCTTTTATCGACCAGCGTTCGGTGCGGACCGAAGTTTAATTATGGGACGTGCGTACACAAAACGCCGCGCTCCTCAGCAGGAGCCTCGCTCGGGAACATTTTTCGGCACGCGCCTCGCGGCCGTACGAACCAAATCTCTTTACCGTTACCACCCATAGTGTGGACCCTAGACTAAACCCTAAACCGACAAGCAGGGTGGAGCACACACCAAAACTTCGAAGAGCAAGCCAAGAGCTCGAAGAGATCCCATGAGTATATTCTTTACATGAGGGTGTTCAGCATTGAGGGCTTTTCAGAGATAACCCTAAGGCTCAAAATGGCCCAAAAACCTTATGTAATATGGTCTTTAGGCCCAGAAGACTTAATATAAGGGCTACATAGGGCTTAGGAAATATTGGGACTTCGGAAACGGAGGAACTGTTTTGACTGCGAATCCTTTTTAAGCGGATCCCACTGTTCAGCTGTCCCCCCAAACTACCCACAGGCCCCAAAGTAGTTCCTTTTTGGGGTTCATATGTAGAATCCTATAAGGTAATCCCAAAAAGGAACGACTATGGGGGAATCAACAAAACTATTCCTGGCCAGACAATCGGCTACAGATCAGAGCTTTAGTAGAGTACACGCACCTAAAACCCTGGGACTCCAAAGCCTATAAGCTAGTAGGGTTTAGGCTCTAGGATATAGGGATTGTAGGGTTCCAGGATTGCTGGATCTTCATCGCTTGCCTCTGTAAGTGATGCTCAATTTAGGGAAAGTAAACCCCGCGAGATCTTCTACAACCTTGCAACCCCTGACACAAGTCCTTGCTGTACCTGCGTGCATGAGTAAGTACTTTACAAGTCTTATACAGGAACTCTGAAGAGATACTAGCACCGGTTATTCCTAAACCATGCAAGCCTAAAACCCCAGAGCCCTAAGCCTCATAGATGGTATCTTGACTATTCGTTTGCCACTTCTATTATTCATTTTACCGTTTATACTGGCAATGCTATTATAGGCACGAGGCAGCGCTAGCCTTCAGGTCCTGCCGAAAGCGCTGCTCCAGATCTTGTATGAAGGGCTCGACCTCCCAGGCAGAGGTTCTTCTTTTAGGGGTCCTTTAGGGGGGTTCCACAAGAGTTCGATAAGGCGTTATAGGGTTTAGGGTTTTGGGGAGTGTGTCAGCGCTGGCTGAGGCTTATATCAGGGCCCGTGGTAGCAGCTAAGGCTAAGGCCTTGAAAGGGTTTCGGGCCGAGGCTTCGGGGTAGGGTATACCTAGGGTCGCCGACGTCGTGTAAAACTGATCCATGCTTGATGCCAGGGCCAAGAGGACATAAAGCCAAGACATGCAAACAACTGAGCTACATTCGAGCTTGATGGGTTGTGCTTCCCGAAGATTGATGCTGCACTCAGTCGTCCAAACACCCTCAGCCGTACATAAAACCTACAAAACCGGAAACTCAAAACCTCAACACCTACATCCTGACTCCTAAAAACTATACCTGAGAAGCTGCCCCCATCCTGTAATAGTGACTATAAGGATCATATTAGGGCCCTATGATATTCCTATTATACCACTATTACAGGGTGGGGACTCCTAAAAAACTATACCCTCAACACTGCAGAGCTCAGGCTGATAGCCACGGAAGCATCCGGAACTCCCAACATACCCCAACTGAGGGACATCCAGCTATAGTCCCTTTAAAGGGATCTATAAGGGCTCCTATAAGGGATCTTCAGGGTTTAGGGTTTAGGGTATAGTACCTATAGTCTCCATTGTCGTTCCCTTTTTCGGTTTAGCCAATTTTGTATATTAAGGGTCCTAAAAGGTAAGCCCAAAAAGGAGCTACAATGGAGACTATTTCGCAGACATGCCATACATGGCGCCGGGAATCGGAACATGGTTTTGATTCTGTTGATGTTCACTGGTGAGTAAATAGGTCAACAGGGTTGCAAGCAGCATAGCCGTGGTTCAAGCATGTTCAAAACTACAGCACTACAGAAAAATGTTCGGGACATAGATTTATATTTAGATCTAGGATGTAGATACGCATACTTGTACCGATATAGAGATGTAGACATGTATAGATTCAGGCACAAATGTGTATGTACTACCATAAATACATGCGTGTAGATCCAGATACAGGTTTAAATGTATAGAGAGAGAGAGAGAGAGAGAGAGAGAAACAGACATAGATGTAGATGTAATTGACAGCACAGATATAGACATAGATATAGGTGTAAAGCAACACGTTGAGAAATAAACAGATTTAGATGTAGCAAAAGATACAGGCAGAGCTTGAGATAGAACTGCAGGTAGAGGGGGAGACGCATGTGCCTACAGCAAGGTGCCCTGAAAACATTTGATGTTCCACACAAAACAATAAAGTAAGATCCACCACAGAAAACGCCGACCACAATCTGAATGACATTCTGAATGAATGTAGAAATATCCCTTTGTACCGTCAGGCCCAAGTGTTCTCGCTGTAGGGCTCTGTCGTGCTGCATCTCTCGCAAAATAACAGGCTCTGTGGCGCCTGACGATACAAAGGAACAGTAGCCCAGCCTAGCCCCAAGAAGCGTAAATCACTACCCATAGGCCCCATAGTAGTTCCTTTTTAAAGGGTTCATATGTAGAATCCTCTCAAGTAATTTCTACGAGCAACTACTATGGGGCCTACATGGGTAGACGAGGAGCCGGGGCTCCCCAGAGTACTTTACAAATCTGCGCTCGGCCCATTTGTTGCGGACCTGCAGTGAGTCGCCGAAGTCCTCGATTCGGACATCCGGATCACCCCGATCGTTGGCCTGCTCCAGTTTACCCATAGTCTCCATTGTAGCTCCTTTTGGGGGTTACCTTTTGGGATCCTTAGTATAAAACTGGTTAAACCAAAAAAAGGAACTACAATGGAGACTATAGGTGAGGGTTCACCGGGACCCTGACTAACCTACCAAATTTTAAGGACGTATATAAGGAGCACATGACAAGGAACCCTCAAGGTAGAGATGGGGTCGATGGGGTTCAGGGGAGTTCAGGAATTTAGGGTGGGCGCGAAAGGATGTATAATAAACGAGTGTTAATGCAGGGGCCTTGATAATTGGAGTAAGGTTTGGTGGTTCCGAAGCTATGTGCAGAGCATTCTTACGACAGAGTGTAGAAGCTAAAGGATTGACCACATCACTCAACCATCATCATAAGCCCTGTTTCTAAACAGGTCAGATACTAAGTTTTACGCCCTAAACACCAAACCCTGAGGCTTGAACCCTAAGGTCCTGCATTTGATTGCACGGTGTGTTGAACAACTGAGTCGTACTATGCCTATGACCCCATCAACAAGCCGTCATAACCTTACTGTCGACATGTACACATAGATATATATATATATATATATATACACACACATGTATGTATGTGTATGAATGTACTCACCGCCTATGTGTGTTGCAATGGTGTCGACCTCCACACAAACGAGCATACGTACACCATGTCGTTATGTTGCATTACATTGCAATGCTTTGCATTGCAAAACGTAGCATAGCATAACAACCCACAGCATGCATACGTAGACATATCTACAACGAAGTGTGTATGTATGTATATATATACACATGTCCAAACCGGTGTGCTTCTATGTATGGAGGTATGTATGAAGGTATGTATGTATGTATGTATGTGTGTATGTATGTATGTATATATAGATATATATGTATATGTATATGTATATGTATATGTATATGTATATGTATATGTATATGTATATATGTAAATGCATATGTATATGTGTATGTGTATGTGCATGTGTATGTATATGTATTTGCATGTGTATGTGTATATGTAGAAAGTATTTACATGTGTATATATATATATACATGCATGCAGTATGATGCACATATGCGGCGATGATGTCCGACTAGCCCATACACAACCCACTCAATACACTTTTCAGAATGATCACAGCTCCATCACACACCCACACAATCGTCCTGGACGCTGAGCTTACCTCCATGCTCCTGTGGCTCAGTTGCTTCGGTCGAGGGATCATGAACGCATTGTAACCGCGGAGTGCAGGGTTGAGGTGGTTTTGCTTGGGTTTGTCATGGGGTCCTGCACGGATTTGAGGCTCTGGGGTTTAGGGCTTCAGGGTGGGGGTTGTGATTCCAACAAGATATTAGAATGTAGCTTCAATATAGGTCTTGCGAGGTCCTGACCGGAATGTCCTCAACATTTTGCGGATGACAGAGGCTACTGTCTGCTTAGTGCAGGTTTTCTGGAGCTGTGGTAGAACTTTCCAGGAACTTCTTGCAAAACGTAAACAAACAATTTAAAGCTTTGTTACTGGATTTTGCCGTACTTAGGGTCGCTCTTTGACCGCGATCTGGTGCAGTGTTCTGAAGGACTGCGAGCTCGTAAGTGGCGGCGACAACACTGAAACCCGATGCTCTTCGCAGTGTCTGAGCGGAAGACGGCCGCCACTTGCGAAGAGATCTCAACCAGTGGCATCAGCCGCGCGTGTGTGGGATCTCCATGGCTCAGATATTTCCGTGGTTCTAGTCATCCCCGGCCGGTGTTACCATGTTCCTGGCCACATCTGCTCAATGCCCGACTACCGGGAACAACGTCGCACCATCCAGCATTGTGTCTTGGAGAACTGGACAAGCCACCAACAAACAAGTACTGGCCATATGGAGTCTCAGGGTTCAGCGTCTTAGGTTTGAGGCTTTTTGAAGGATTGAAAGTTATGCGCTTCAGGCTAAGAGTCCCCCCATCTTCTGGGGATGTTGCTCGTCTGTGGGCTGGTCCGGCTGAGGCTGAGGACCTCTGCGCGGCATCATTAGGGCTTTAGGGTGCAAGACTTTACCTATGGTTTCCATTGTAGTTCTTTTTTGGGGTTACCTTTAGGATCCTGAATATAAAAAATAGTTAAACCCCAAAAAGAAACTACAATGGAGACTGTAGGTAGGTTTCGGACCTTATATACCCTAAAACCCTAAAACGGAAACCCCCAAGCCCTAAACCCCAAACCGACTTTAGGCTTTCAGAGTTTGGGATTTCAGATAAGCCCTTACCTGATTGTGGGAACTAATTGTATGGTTATATGGCCCCTACTAGTAGGTATTAGAAGGGTATATGGGCCCTGTTGGTTTCAGGTTTGGGACAACATCTCGTGATCCCGGCCGGATGAAGCTGCAGAGTGACAGCAGGTCCTACTGGTAAAGGCTGGAAGGGTTTAGGGTTTAGGGTTTCAGGGGCTCAGGGTTTAGGGTTGAGCCCTACGGGGATCATGCCTCAGCCCTAAGCCCAATGCCGGTAGAGCACCCTGGTTGGAGCATGACTTTGACACTTAAAGTGCTTTGCTGGGGCTGCGAAGTTCCAAGTTGAAACCATACTTGCTTTTCAAACTCTCACCCCCCTGCAGGTTTCAAGGGATGTTGACTGCTTTACTACGTTTTGGAAAGGTTTCCCCAACCCCTAAACCCCTAAACCTGAACTAGGCTCGCGCAAAATCCTCACAGCTAGGCCCTGGGAACCCAAACTAAAGCCTAAAACTACAACACTGAACGTCAACAGAAAACACTACACAATACTAAACATACCAACAAAACCCTAAACTACCAAACACTAAACCACATGTTTCTGGTTGCTTACGCATTCTCTCTTGGGTGTCCTTCGCGGCAGCAAGGACCCGCTCCTCCAGCCAGGACAGCTCCTGAAGCAAACAAACAAACACGACAGAGAGGGATTCATAGGGCTTAGGATTAACGCTTTGAGCTTTGGGGTTCAGTACCTTAGGAATAACCTACCTTTTTAAGGACTCATATAAGGAAATCATAGTAAGGAACCCTATAAAGGTAGGTTATTCCGGCTTAAGGTAGGGCTTGTAGTTTGGGCTTGTTTGGGGTCATAGGTTCAGGAGGGCGAAGGGGCATTGGGCTCTGAGGGACCCCATGTAACCCCCTTCTCGGGACCCCCACAGATCTCATAAAACCCTTACCGGTCCCTTGAAGAAGCCCTAAAAAGGCTCATGACCCTTCCGGTAAGTTACACAGGAGCTTTGATCTGTGAATAGAGTTCCTTCACTCACTGGCCCAAAATCCAAGGAACTAAAAGTTGAAACTTTTAGCATCGACTACCTTATAAGAGCCCCAAAAGTTGAAAAGTCTAGCTTGAAGTCAATAAGTTCAACATTTTCTACAGCTTCTTCTAGGGTTGAAGGCCCCCCTAAAATCCCAGAGGGGACGGGATAAACAGCTTCTTCTAGGGTTGAAGGCCCTCTAGACTCCCAGAGGGGACAGGATAAAGTTGGACTTTTGGGGGCTTCTGGGGGGACTGAGATCTAGAGCCGGGCCTTGAACCTTCGACCGGGACTGGGCTTCCCGGGGGTATATTCTACTCACAGTATACTGCTTTTGGTTTATATAGGGCTTTTAGGGTCAATACATTCTATTGCTTTTGGCTTTTATAGGGTTTATACGGTTTGGAAGAGAAGTACTACAATCTTACTTCAGGCCCCTAGGTGAATCGCGCGTCCTGAGGATCTGCGCAGTCATCTCGCAGCATGAGGGCCTGCAGGGCAGGTCTACCGACACGGCCTTGACACGGGTGGTGCGTCTCCTATGCTATCTTACGACTGTTCCATCGAGGAATCTTTGTGTAAAGTCCCTAGACTGTTAAGTAGGTTTCGGGCAGGTTTTGCAGGCTTTGAAGTCGTGTTCGAGGGTGTGGGGGCCCTGTTGCATGTAGTCATAAACCTGCAACTAAGCCGGCTATCATCGTACATAACCCCAGTTGTGCTGCACACGTCTCCACTTACGGCTACCCTTGTCAAGCTGGAAGAAAGCTCCTGGGAAACCCCTTCAACAATCACAGTCAAACGCGATGTCCGATGTCTTCTTCGTGTCGTTGTCTTTTTGGTTGCTGTTCTTGCGGCTTCTTGCTACTAATGTAGAAGCCTGGACAATTAGAATGGGTTTTGGGAGATGCTATAGTTAAGTATCTTAAGGAGCCCTTAGTTAATATCTTATACAAAAGGCACCCTTAGTTTTTGATAATATTCAGGAGCCTCGAACGTCTGTTTAGATTTTTCTGAGGAGACCCTAGTTGGGCGTTAATATCAAATATGCGCAACCCAGTCTTCTGGCCGGGCCGGTCCGAACTAACAGTTCAGCGGTTTAGGGTTTAAGGGTTTGGGTTTAAGGGTTTAGGGGTCAGGGTTTGGGGTTTAGGGTATAGGGCTGGCAATCGAGAATGTCATCATGCTGCAAAGGGGGAAGAATGGTTTTCCTTTGAATACAGCGACCTTGGTTAGCATAGCATTTCATGACAGCATACTCATAGGACTCTAATAGGGATACTGCTGCTACTTGCTCAGACCTCGGCACTGCACTACGGTTGATTATATAAATCCTGCATTACCTTGTGAGGACCCTATACCATGGGAATTATGGCATGTTTCTTACTATGGGTAGTGCAGGATATATATATATATATATCATCATCATCATCATCATCAACAGTAAGATAACCTGAGACAGCCACTGCGAGCTTTCCGATGGGAATGGCCATTTCCACAATGCCGATGTATACGAAGATCGTGCACAGCCTGCAAGCGGAGGGTTTAATATAGGGGCCCCAATAAGTCGAATAGGGGTTTTGAGGATACAGTAATTATGATGAGAAGCCTCCAACATAGTAGTTATAGGTAATTATACATATATATATATATATATATGTATATTCATTTAGGCCTTAGGCCTCTATACTAGGGCTCAGGCTTCAGGGCTTCAGCCCTTTTTTTCCAGGATGTCCGGCATTCACCCCTCGTGAACAAGGGAACCGAGACAAACCGCAGGGGCCCTGCCCCGGTACCGCCTGCCCCGGTAACCTCAGCTTCAGAGCACCCTTGTTCGGAGATTAGGGTTTAGGGTTAAAGTTTAGGGGTTTAGGGGATAGGGTTTAGGGTCCACAAAGGGAACTTCGGTGCAAGGTACTACTGGTGGAACCTTATGTTAGCCGTGGTAGTGCTGCTGGCAATCTTCATGATCATCATGCTGGCCATGTCTCCAAGACTCTGTATCAGCATGGAGACGGTACACGCATGGATGTAATGTTACTTGTCGTACTAGTGCTGCTACCGACCATTCTGAAAAAAAGATTCATAGCAATCTTCAGAGAGACTCCAATGACAACACCATCACATAACTGAGTCATCGTGTCAAAAGAAAGAGAACCGTAAAGCTGGTATTGCAATACTCATGTTAATCTTGTTAGTAGCATAAATGCTGACTCAGAACGACTCTCCCTCCATCGTGTTTGTCTTTGCTGCCTGTACACATGCATGTACAAAGAACATAAGTAGCATACATGCATAAATACATCTGCCTCTAGCTGTGGGTCTACAAACTCACTCATGCAGCTGTGTGTGGAAACAGGGACGTGGAGATAAACGCATCGAGAGATGAACATTCACGATGAAGGTCCAGCCTCAATGTGACCACAGCGCTGGGGTCGAGCCTTGGCATGCAACGTGGCGTGGCGGCCCTCCTACAATCCCAGAAGAAAGCCCTGCAGTAACAAAGCCCAACTAGATCCTGTAGAAAACCCTTATCTAGGGCCCATTATACTATCGATCGATCTAAATGTCTATATATAAGGAATCCCGAAAATAGTATAGGTAATTATTAAGGCCCCGATAGTACAAAACCGCAGAACCAGAACCGGGGCCCCTCACCCCAACTAGATCCTTTAGAGAACCCTACCCTAAACCCTAAAGCCTAAACCCCTAAACCCTGAACCCTAAACCGCAGAACCAGAACCGGGGCCCCTCGCCCGGCTTCCGCAACCATCCTGCAGGTCAGAGCCAGCTTCGCATGCGCTGCCCGCGCCAAGCTGAAAGCGTCCGACGAGGGCGGCGTCCTCTCGGGCCGGGGGTTTCCCTACTTGTCGCACCGAGAGAACATGGGAGTTCCCGAAAAAAAGGGGTACCTTAGTTTGGGGGCCGTTTGATAAGGATCCTACTATTTAGGGTACTATATCCTAGTTGTCGGGTATCATGGGGAACTGAAGGTTAACCTTTTTGGTTATATAGGGATTATATAGCGACTATACTACCCAAAAAAAGGTTAAAGGTGGCCTACTCTACTACTAGGTTTCTTTGAGGGCCTCTCTAAGAGCTCCAGGGGTTGAAAGAGAATTCTTTAGGGGGTTCCAAGCGGGCTCTCTAAAGAGTTCTGAAGGGTTCTTCGAAGTGTGCAGGGTTTAGGGCTTAGGGTTTAGGGTTTCCTTTGCAACTTCAAGGTGTTTTTCTGGATCAGAGGGGTCTTGGATTCTCTGGACTGGACTCTTGCAGCCTGCATTTCGCCCTCACGACGGTGCATCTACAGTGCACAGTCCGACCGTCAACTTTGGGAAGATGCGAGTGTGCACCGGCAGAACATGGGAGTTTTCGAAAAATAGGGGTACCTTAGTTTGGGGGGCCTTATAATAAGGATCCTACTATTTAGGGTACTATTATATTAGGGTCCCCTATTTCGGAAACTCCCACACAACCAGACACAAACCTAGAGCGTGCCTGGACCCTATGAACCTAATGGTCTCCTTGTTCTGAGTTTATCGTATACGTCCTTAAAGAAGGTAGCTTCTTCGAGGCCTAAGTAAACCTTGGATCTAACCCTAAATGCTTTAACCCAGACGAAACGTATGCAACTGCGCACAACCCGTGCTTCGTAACACATTCTAAGACCCATGTGAACCGGCAATTAAATCCGCAAATCCTGAAACCTTGCATACAACATCCGCAACAAAAAAACCCTAAACACTCAGCAAAATGCAACCAGAAACAGCAACAAAAACACACCGTTGCCAAGAAACTGCCTGGAACCGCACAAGACACCATCGACTGGCCGTAAAAAGTGCGACAGTTCATAATAAGGATCCTACTATTTAGGGTCCCCGATTTTCAGAAACTCCCATATAGATCCCTTCTAGTAGCCCTTCTAGACCTCTTTAAAGGAAGCTCTTTTCAACTCATTCTCGGCCCGGGGGCTTGAATTCCGGAAGTGCAAACCCTACTTGTAGGATCATATAATACCCCACCCCTTTTTAGGGTTTAGGGTTCAGGGTCCTTTTTGGGGACATATGGTGTCTACTGTTCTATATGGGTGGTTGTCAAAATTATTGTCCCCTTTTGGGTCCCTAACATAGTACGGCACCTAATATTTAGGGTTCCCCAAAAAGGGACCATAATTTTGACAACCTCCCCATATAGCAGATCCTAACCATAAGACTAGGTATCCAAAAAGGCGGTACTGGTGATGGACAAAATCCTGCATGACCCTGGGGACTCTAAACTATGGGAACTTTGGTATACTCCTTATAAAGGGTAATGCAGGATTTTGTCCATCAGCAGTATCCTACCCGTTTTTTAGGGTATCTACTTTGTGATAAAACAGATCCTAACCATAAAACTGGGTGTCCAAAAAAGGGGTAGGGTATGAGCCTCCAAGTAGTCCTTATCTATGACCTTAACCCTGAACCCTAAATCCTGAACCCTAGACCCTGAACCCTAAACCCCTAAAACTCTAAACCCCGAACCCCAAACCCTGGTTCTTGGTACCCAAACTCGACCCAAAGTCCTATAGTAAGGAGTACTTGGACCCTTAAGGTAGGTTTAGGGTTTAGGGTTTAGGGCGCCAGTTGTATATGGATCCTTTTGAAACCCTCAAAAACCTGTAAACGTCCCGACGAAAACCTTACTGCCAGAGCTTTTTGAACACCCTTACAACCCAACATTTAAACAGACCAAGTTTAACAAAATAAAACTACACTAAACTCCCTAAGATATCAAGTTGAACCGAAACCCTAAACCCTAAACCCCTAAAAGCCTAAAGCAAACGAAAACAACCCCCTTGACTGAGGCTGCCGAGATGCTGCAGCTGGGGCCATGATATCCAGGCCTCGAAGATGGCCTCACCGAGGCACCACCTCGAGATCTTTTCTGCTTAGGGTTTACGATTAAGGGTTGGATTAGGGTTTAGGGTTTACGGTTTAGGGGTTAGGGTTGAAGGTTGAGGGTTAAGGGTTTAGGGATTAGGATCTAGAGAGTTTTCTGCTGATCCTCTCAAAGAACCCTATTCTAAGATTCCCCGAGTACAAAGGCCCCCAGTCTATGATTCAGCAAGTACTAAGGCCCATCCTAAGTCCCTAATCCCTAAACCTTTGTTGGGAAGACTCCCGTCCCTCACAAACGCCGTGCAGGATTTGTTAGAAAGGTTGACGAGGGATACTGTAAGGGCTCTTTTGTATGGGCGTGCACCAGGGTTTCTGGGATTTTTCAAAGCAATAGTACTCTAGGATACCCAGTAACCTAAGAATAAAAAGGCCTCTCTTTTTGGTATTGGGTAACTTTGTAAGCAACCCAGGACTACAAAAAGGGAATAAGGGTACTACTGGGCATCCTAGTACTGGCAACCCTGAGGAAGGGCATTGGTAAACATGGAGGCTTCGATCGTGGGGCTCATTGCGGGGTCCCTTCTCGGATCCTGTCACGGGTTTTCTTTGTGGTTTAGGGATGAGGGTTTTGGCTTGGCTGCTTAGGGATGAGGGGGTTCTTGACCACTCACTTTGATGATTTGATAAGGGTTCCTTAAACTGATTTCTGTGGTTCTCAAAGAGCCCAATACTCCTTATAGCCCAATGACCCGTCATCAAGGAATACACCTTTGACTATTATTGGGGGGAACAGTGCTCTTTCATGACATGCCTCGATGTTTGCGGCATGTTTGTTGGTCAAGGGGTATTAGGCTTTCGGGGGCTACTAGAGCTCCTTTAACGGTCCGTTTTGGGGTGCCTTTAAGGGATTCCTTTAAAAGGAACCCCTTAAAGCAACCCTTCAAAAGGATCTCCTTTAACGGATTCCCCTTTAGAGTAGCCTAGAAGGGTTCTTGAAGGCTCCGTTTAGGGTTCCTTGGCCGGTCTTAGCGTTGAGGCTTCATAGGGCCCCCCAAAAGCACATAAGCAAAAAAATAGGGTAGGGATATCCCCTGTAGACCCCCTTATAATGAAGCCCAATGAGGTAGGGATATCCCTACAAAATGTTTATGCTTATGTCCTTTTTGGGTCCCTAACTTCAAGGACTCAGAGGTCCAGGGTCTGGCATGGCCGCTCTGTAGGGGCCTTGGTAATTAGAACAGGGCTCCTTTATAGGGTTCGGGCTACCATAAGGATTTAACGCCTTCGTAGTGAGACTAATGAGGTTTTGGGGGCTCCTTATGACAATTATAGTATGATACCCCCCAAACCCTATTCTAAGTATTAAGCCCCCTATATTATAGCCCCGGTATCCGGGGTCTATAGGGGTTAACTGACACAGGTCCTGAACCGCGAGCCTGAAAGCCCCGAAAACGAACCTAGGGCTCTTTTCAGGAACCTAGGCTTCTTTCTCGGGCTCCTTTAAAGGGAACCTAGGCTCTCCAAGGAAGGGACCTCGGGCTCTTTCAGGAACCTCCTCAGGTTCCGGCCAGGGCGGCAAACAGCAGCCATGATCGATAGGTCCCAGGCCATGAGGTTTGGCCTGCACCGGTAGCGGTAGTGGTAGTGGTAGCATTAGTAGAAGAAGAAGTAGTAGTAGTAGTAGTAGTAGTCGTAGTGGTAGTGGTAGTGGTCGTAGCAGTGGCAGTAGTAGTAGTAGTAGTAGTAGTAGTAGTAGTAGTAGTAGTAGTAGCAGTCGTAGTCGTAGTAGTCGTAGTATTCGGAGTAGGTCGTAGTAGCAGTAGCAGTAGCAGTAGCAGTAGCAGTAGCAGTAGCAGTGGCAGTGGCAGTGGCAGTGGCAGTGGCAGTGGCAGTGGCAGTGGCAGTGGCAGTGGCAGTGGCAGTGGCAGTAGTAGTAGTAGTAGTAGTAGTAGTAGTAGTAGTAGTAGATGTGGTGGTAGTAGTAGCTGATGCTCGGGGGGAATCCTGATCCTGGGTGATGAATGGAGGATTAAATAGGATAGCCCGCACCCTAGACTCTGAAGAGTTAGTTTATGGCGTTGGCCTCCTCGTTATTTGGGGGGCCCAGAAGCCCTTAAGACCTACACTACACTGTCACACCCTTGCCAGCGAGAGCCTACATTTGGCTCTTTAGAGCTGTTGTTTAGGGTTTACGGCTTGTAGGGTCTTGGGGTTTAGGGCCTAGGGTGTAGGGTCTGCACGGGTTACGGTTCAGTGTGTAGGTTGTGGGTTTAGGGCTTTTAGGTTTCTAAGCGAGCTGTAGGGGATCTTCTTGCCTAGCAACAGCTTCTGGAAGGGCTCCACCAGCTTGTTGCAAAGGATGGTGCCGCTTTGCATATAGTCTCCATTGTAGTTCCCTTTTTTGGTTTAGCCAATTATCTACTAAGGATCCTATAAGGTAACCTTGGGAAAAGAAGGAACTACAACGGAGACTATAGGTAGGGTGCCAGGGGGCCTTATTGCTCGGAGTGGGGTTGAGGAGTCTATAGAAAAATGTCGCATGTTGGGTTTATGTACAGGAATCTCGTACAACCGTCCAGCCCTGAACCCCAAAACCTAATGCCCCAAACCACTGAAAGCAAGAACCACCCGCCGCACCCAAATGCTAAACCACACACTTTGGAAACGTGAAAACACAGCGCTAAACCGCCACTTCCCCAAGGCAAGCCTCACAACCTTAATCTCGAACTCCTGAACCGTAAGACGCTAAGAAGCCTCATAGCCCTAACTATACTGAACTTAGGTCCCTAGCAAATTTTTCATTTTAGCTGTTTCTTAGGGATTACAATAACCAAGAATTAGAAACTATTTCTAAGTGCCCATAGCCCTAACCTGCATGTTCAACAGGCCTTCTTCAGCAGGAGCAAGTTGCCCGGATGCCGGTCCTTGATTCTCGGATTTGTCCAATCTGACTTGTCCTCTAAGCCCTTTGAAGATTATTTACTATTTAGGGTTTAGGGTTTAGGGTTATGGTTCTCTACAAAATAGTGAGGAAACTACACAAGATCACGAAGGCCAACCCAGCAATGTACCCCAAACTAGGTGGCTTCTTTAAGGGATTCCGCTAAAACAGATTAGGGCTTCAGGTGTTCTGCAGGGAACTCCGTTTAAAAGTGCTAGGGTGCAGGATTTTGGGGTCACAGGTCGGGGGTACTTGGAGGCCCAGGGGACTTAGTAAGTGGGTTATAAGGAGGGTTATAACTACCCCAAATGGAGCTACCCCAAACATAACCCTACTTATAACCTACTTACTAAGTCCCCTGGGCCTCCAAGTATGGGGCCCTGTCAAGTTTCTACAAAAGCGATAGTCCGGGAAGGAGCTCTTAGGTTTGGATGGCTTAGGGGTTTTAGGGTTTCGGGCTTAATTAGGATTTAGGGTTTAGGGTTTCGGGGTTTTAGGGTTTAGGGTTTAGGATTTAGGGTCTAGGGTTTAGGATTTAGGGTTTAGGGGTTTTAGGGTTTAGGGTTTAGGATTTAGGGTCTAGGGTTTAGGATTTAGGGTTTAGGTTCCTCAGGGGTTTGGGACTTCAGTGTCGCACAAGGGGCCGGCGATTGGGGTCTGACGGCTTTTGTTTCGATTTTGCGCTCATGCCAAACCACAGAGACACGAGTGCTCTGTGTAGAGACCGAACGAAACATGTGAACGCCCAGCAAAATCACCAAACCCTCTGTAAAACACCACGGTTACCAAATCTTGCCAGCATTACAAAACATCAACCAAAAACAAATGAAACAACTCCTCCCAACTAAGGAAGTGTTGTCACCGGCTGTTGGCGTTTAGGGTTGACACGGTTCCATGGAGTTGTAGGCCTGTCGGTCAGGGAATCTCGAGCAACAGTCTGCATAAGTTCCGGATACAGTTGCAAGGCATGCTTGATCCTACCTGCCGTCATCCCACCCTTTGACAATGAGGACCCTGATACAAGGCTCCATATGGCCAAATCCTTTTCGAGACCCCTAAACCCTAAACCCCTAACCCCTAAAACCCAAAACCCCTAACCCCTAAACCCCTAAACCCTGAACCCAAAATCCGGTCTTCAAAACCTGAGTGCCCTGAGGCTCCATATTGAAGACCCGCATATCGAGGAGGGCGATAGACTCAGCGTCTGCTTGAGGGATAAAGGCAACAGCCTCCTCGAGCTTCCTGGCCAGTCAAAGGGGAAAAGGAGGGACCCTTCATGGGGACCCCTACCCTGTAATGGGCTATATAATGGGTATATAATAGCTATATTAAGGGTATAGACATAGGGGTCCTTAAGGGTCCCTCCTTTTACCCTTGGAGCCAGGGTATTACAAACCCAAAGGGTGCTAGGTACTGTTATGGGGAATACTTCCCGCAATCATAATTGTAATTCCTAATATAGAAACCCTACATTCGATATACTATAGAATTACTTTGGACCCTTCGGGAAAGCATTTGAGTGAAATTGTATGTAAGAATTTGGTGCAATAAAGGTATAGTAACGATGTCATATGTAATGGCTTCGGGATATGAGGCTTTGGGGGATCGAGTCCATAGTTACGTTGCTACATTGCCTACAGACTACAGTTTGAACCGTTCAGGATCCAGCCCTATAGACATATAGGGTTTCGGGGTTGTGTGAGTGTGTGTGCGTGTTTGTGTGTGTGTCTGTCTGTGCGCGTGTGCGCGTCGGTTTAAGGTTTGAGGCTATAAGTGTGTGCATTGTCTGCAGTTGGTAGTTGTAGACAACGCTTTTCGGTCGTGTCGAGTTGCTCATGTGCCGTTGGAAGTGCCGCAGACCCTTGATTCAGGTTTAGGGCCTGGGGCTTTGTGTTTACTCTTCTTAATAAACGTTCATTCTTTAGCCATGGTAATCTGCTCGCACATTCGTAAACGTCGTAAACAAAAACAAAAACCAGAAATACGTACAAACGCTGTACACATGCACAGAGACCCAAGTACATATATGCACTCAGTATACATGTCTACATACACATATACCTGCTTTAATACATCCCTATGTCGAATTATTTTTACCGTTTTCGAATTATGTGGGAGTTCAAAAACCGTACAAACAAACAAACCTTTGATGTGAGTACGTTGCATTGTCTTGTATTATACCTTTATAAACTAGTATGAATTATGTACGTATATATATATATATACACATGTACATACATATATATATATATATATACATAGACACACATGTATAGATAAATATATATATATATATATACTTAAGTATATACATCTATACGAAGTGTATCACGTATATAACTCTCTCTCTCTCTCTCTCTCGTTCTCTCTCTCTCTCTCTCTGTCTATGTCTCTCTCAATCTCTCTCGCCCGCTCTCTCTCTCTCTCTCTCTCTCTCCCTCTCTCTCTTTCTTTCTATCTCACTCTCTGTCTCTCTCTGTATAATATAGTTGCACCTCAGTTTTCTAAGACACCTGATAAACCGCTTTGAGTCAGAACTTGAACCGAGCTGTTAACCACTTTTATCTACCATTACGCTACTTCTGAATACCACTCTCATCAAGCACGGTTCTGCCTCGGGATGCCATAGTCCTCGATAAAGCCCTGGACCTTGGCCATTCCATATACGACTGCACCCGAAAGTAGCCACGAGGGTGCAGCAATATTAGGATCGACATCGCATCGGTATCGTCACCGCACGACACCTCATCGCAGTATCGGGCTTCGTGCCTATAGGCCACAGTACAAGCAGCCAGCCACCAGACAGCCACCAGCCACGAACCACCACAGCCAGCAGCGACGAACCACCAGCACCAGCAACAAACAACAAGCCTTCAGCACAACCACCAGCCACCCCTCCGACAAAGGGAGGACGGGGTCGAAACATGAAGCATACCACGCCGAGGCGATATCGGAGTTGAATTTACGATCCCTCTTCTCTTAAAGAAATGTAGCCGGAGGGAAGATAGGAAGTCGCTAAACAAAGAGCGACAGAAAGAATAAGTCAAAATGCAAGGACACGGAACCGGATGAGCAAGTGACCGAGACGATTCTCAAACCCTTATGGGAACGAGCTGCAAACACCCTCTTTCGATGTCCACCAACCTAGAAAGCTTCTGAAAGCCTCTTCAAACTTTAAATGCCTGCACTGCCTGCACACCTCAACCCCTGAATCCTTAATTTAACACCCCCCCCCCATGGAGTCCTTATGAAAAGTCCCATACGGGATACGAACATTAGGGGTACATCATTCTGGGGTCCGTATAATCACGATCCTGCTATTTAGGGCGCTATATTATGGTCCCCTAGTTTTCGGAAAGTCCCATATATCCCACGCAATGCAAGAGAGACTTGAAGATGGCCCTGTAAGACGGTTTAGCAACCCGTTTAGGGTGTAGGGTCCCTTTGAAGGCATCTATAAGGGCTCCTACAAGAGCCCTTTAGGGTTTAGGGTTTAGGGTATAGTCAACCAATCTTAAGGAACCACCCAAAAGCACAAACACAATAATTACCCAACATCAAAACCCCGAATCCTAAACCCTAAACACCACCCAAACCCCCCAAACCCCTAGCCTTAAACCCTAAACCCAAACCCTCGACCCTACCTATAGTCTCCATTGCAGTTCCTTTTTTTTGGTTGAACCAATTTTATGCCAAGGATCCTAAAAGGTAACCCAACAAAGGAACTACAATGGAGACTATAGGCAAACCTTAAACCCCCCAAACCCCCCAAACCCCTAGCTTAAACCCTAAAACCCTAAAACTCTAAACCCTAAAACCCTAAAACTCTAAACCCTAAAACTCTAAACCCTAAACCCTAAAACTCTAAACCCCAAACCCTAAGCCCTAAGCCCTAGAAACCCTGAGGCTTCCGACGTCCATCACGAAGGCTTGGACGGAGCCTGGAATGAGCGGGGATTCAAAGCTGAAAGGTGTTTTGGCCTGTTCTGTGGTACATATATGTATATATTTGTATAGAGTGAGAGAGATAGATAGATCATGTTTGTTGAACTATTATCGTGATCATACCATACTACAGTCACATGGTGTTTTGTCTTCGTTGGGGTTCGATCTGGTGACACGTACACCCTAAATTTACTACCCCAATAAGTTACAGAAATAAAAGATGAAAGGTAAAAACAAATTGATTCCTACTAAACTATAAGACCGCAAAAAGTTAAAAGGTTAGGTATTGGGGATCTAAGTAAACCCTAAACTGTGCAGTTTTGTCCATCCAGGGCTCCCCTAGGCCGGTCGTCTCTCTGCGGGGCTGAGTAACCTAACCGCAAAGAAGGGATCTGTGATATGAGGGTTTGGGGCCCAGTAAGAGCTACAGGGTTTTAGGATTCAGGGATTTGGTGAATACGCTACCCCCGAAAATATTATATAACCGTTTTCAATTATGGTATATAGGATCACTCGGGCCTTAATAATTCGGTATATTCTACTCTGGTACCCCCCAAAATAGTACAGGCAATTATATTAAAGCCCCCTATAGTATATAAACACGAAAAGGTTGAAGGTCAGCTACTCGCTACGAAGTAATGCAGTGCTTGATGGTCTTACAGATCTACTTGGGAAGCTAAAGGTTAATTTTTTGGTTATATAGGGATCATATAGGACTATACTACCCAAAAAAGGTTAAAGGTCTCATACTCTGCTACTAGGCAGAAGCTCTGTTGTGAGGATCTCTCTCTCGTGTGCTGCTCCACTCGCACAATCGAAAGGTATTCACTGGCCCTGCATAGGGTTCCCTTTAAAGGGTTCCTTAAAGGAGGGTATGTAAGGGCTACAAAAAGGGGCTCGATAATTCAGGAGCCTTCAGGGGCTGACCAAGAAAATACTTTAGGGTTTAGGGTTTAGGGTTTAGGGGTTCAGGAGAGCAGAAGATTTAAAGAAGCTCCGGATGTTTTTGTCTCCAGGCGCTCAGTGCGAGGACAGTATCGTAGCTGGGGCATCGCCTTTAAATGAACCACTCCAATCGCTGCACGCAGCTTGGGTTGTCAGCCCATGTCGTCCGATTGGCTGCTGTTAGGTTGCCAGGGATAGCCATTTTTCAGGGTTCAAGGTTATCTGGTTTACGGAAATGACGCGGAATGCATCTCATTGACGATAAAAACCCTGTTGCACATACTACAGTGAAATTCTCAAAAATTCTGCAATACCGCACAAACCCCGGATCGTGTATGAAGCCATCGCGAAGGAAAATTGGCCTAAACCCGGCAAAATCATGCAACACACACCCTACAGCTCAACCCCGGAAACCCTAAACCCCAAACCCCTAAACCCCTAAGCCCTACAACCCTAACCCCTACAGGCCCCATGTTTAGCCACAAGCGGAAGGCCCTAAAAAGCCCGGGGCACCTTCCAGGGTATGGCCATCGACCTGGCACCGGGCTTTCCAAATGTTCCTTTGCTTTTCAATATTTTAGAGTTTGGGGTTTAGGGTTTGGGGCTTAGGGTTTATGGTTTGGGGCTTGAGCTATCGATTGACTGAAGGGGTTTATTCAGGATATGCTGAAAAGGTGTCACAAAGTAGGATTGTTTAGGGTAGGGGGGTTTAGGACTCTCGGGTCTATATGGGCTTCATAGTGTGTTCGTTGGAGTTGAAGAGTGTGTCACAATAAGGGGTTTGGTATCCGTATTAGTATTCGTATTCATCAGTAGCATAGGGGTTGAGAGTTTAGGTGTTTGTTTCAGGGTTCTTTACGGCGGACGCCCAGAATTTCAAGCTGGTATGGTCACTCTTGTCCCCGATAGAGTACAGTAGTGTAGATATGTATATATATGTACCTCCTACACATTTACATATGTGTTTAAAGAAGAATAACTACAATAATCATAATAGTTCTCATCATACTCAACAACTATGGGGTTTTGGGCATGTACTAAAATGCTGACTTTCATGGTATGACACAGCGCTTCGAGGCGGTAGGGTTTCTGGGCATGACTGATTATAGGTCGATTAAAGCATATCATAGGGTTTAGGGTTTAGGGCTTATCATGGTGTACGAGAGGCCGTCCATGGAGCTTACAGTATAACACTGCATCTCGTGATGTATACTGCTACATGGAATGTTATCGTATGCTGTAGCATCCCTATATCGGAAACCGAGGACCCGAACATAACATCCTAAATTGTAGGGTTCTTATCACAAGGACAGCAAAACATGGTTCACCTAATTTTCGAAAGCTCCCATACATGCTGAGTAGCCCGAAACCCAAAACCCTAAACCCTTAACCCTAAATCCCCAACCCCCCCCCCCAAAAAAAAAAAAAAAAAACCTAAACCCCTGAACCCTAAATCTTTTAAACCCTAGAATATGATATGGGTGGCTGTCCAAATTAGCGTCCCTTTTTGGGTCCTTATTATAATACGGCACCTAATACTTGGGGTACCCAAAAAAGGGCGTTAATTTTGACAACCACCCATGTGTTAGAAGCTGCCCCCACCCTGTAATAGTGAGGATTGTATTAGGGCCCTATTATATTCCATTGTACCACTATTACAGGGTGGGGGCCCCTTCTAACCCATATGATATGATGAGGAGGAGCTCCGAGGCTGCGAAATCCCAAAAATCGAACACCCGGCCGTGCATTGGCGCCTGGATTGAGGCTCGCGATGTCACCGGGACAGCGGCCTGAATCATTTAGGGACCTTAATAATTAAAATATTTTTGTGGCGGGGTATACTATATTTATAATAGTTATAATAAGTAACCCCCAAATTATTAGAGTGGGGCTGTTTTGGGGGTGTATGATCCTATAGTTATAATACAGAGCCCCCCCAAAAAAAAAAAAATAGTATGGGAAATGATTTAGGCCCCCTAAACTACACCCCCATAATGCCCCTTATAGTAATCCTTAAAGACCCATTGAAATGGACCCCCCCCGAAAATAGTATAGGTAACTATTTTAGGCCCCTCTATTACCATCGAAGCTTTGGCTTGATTTTTGTGGATTCGCGAGGCTCGCGTTGTTTCGTTGTCGCTTTTCTGTTGTGCCCAGACCTTCCAAAATCCCTTTATTAAGGAATATACCTTAAATCATATTAGGTACCCTATTATAACTTAAGGTATATTCCAATGAAGGGGTTTTGGAAGGTCTGGGTGCTTCTACTTATACAGGGTTTAGGGGCACAGCTTTCAGGGCCGAGAGGTCTATGTCTTTTCGGGACTGCGGTCTCAGGTCCTGGGTTTACTTAGCTTTGCTTTTCCCTACTTGTCGGGTATCATGGGGAACGGAAGGTTAACCTTTTTGGTTTTATAGGGATTATAGGGACTATACTACCCCAAAAAAGGTTAAAGGTTACCTATAAACCCTCAGGAATCCTGACACCCTCCACCCCCTAAGCCCTCCAAGCCTGCGATCCGGTGAGGCGATCCACGAGGTACACCGCCTCCTCGCGGACGGCACCTGGCCCGTGAGTTTTGGCATATAAGGTCTAGGGGATATATACACATATATATATATACACACATGAACATATGTTTAATAATTATATTATGTATATACACACTTATATACAATGTATGTATATATGTGCATTTGGGTTTGCATTTCTTTGTTTGTTTGAGCTATTGTACGACATGTGTGCGTATCGTATATAGAAATGTATGTAAACATTCAATACACATCATTTTATATATACCTTTACATATGTATGTAGACATACATGAATGCCTACATATACACATACATGTGTATACATATATATATCTATATACACCTATACTTATACAGGTCTAGGGATCCTTTTCCCTAGCATGGTGTGTCAGATATTCTGGCAACTACTCTCGCAGTGCCCCTTGCTCCCTTAACACATTGCCGTCAGCGGCGGTTAGCATACCGAACTTTACCAAATACCTCAAAACAAGCAACAATCCCCCCCGCCCACCACACACACACAAACAACAGCGCATACATACATATACATACATACCCATGCACGAACATGTATAAAGGTATACTCATGCATTGCATATATTGCAAATGTTTACATATTACGAAACATACATACTTAGGTATATGTATGTATGTATATATATATATACATATATATACATATATATGTACACAAACACGCATACATGTAAACAGAAATGGCAGTCATCGGCACAGCCTACCTCTACCCTCCTCCACCAGAAATTCGGAGGCAGGGCCTTTCCCAGCATCGAGACTCTTCCGATGGAACTTCTCCCCGTCGACCTCGATAGTCATCCGTGGAGCTTAGGGTCATTCTATTTCTGGCTTTTGCTTTTGGGGGCTGTGGTTTTGTCTTGGAACGGTCAATAAATAAAGGCACTAACCAACTATCGTGGGTTACACAGACGCACCGAACCGTGTAGCCTCTACAACGACTGAAGGTTCATTGCTGCGCACTTTGACGACGCAGTTGTTGCCCCGAAAGCCCTGTAACCTATGTGTGCAAAAATCTGACCATAAACCCCTAAACCCCTAAACCCTAAACCCCGAAACCCTAGACCCGATGAACATCATGAGGCTTTGGCTGTGCTCAAGTCCTCAGTGAGAGCCGGCAAGGGATCCCGCATTCGGCGACACCGCCGCAACACTTGGAGCAGGAGGGGCCGGGGGCCGAAGGCACAGCCTTGGTAGCCAAACCTTCCGAAATCCCTTGGTTAAGGAATATACCTTAAATCATATTAGGGATCCTACTATCATTTAAGGTATACTCCTTAACTAAGGGATTTTGGAAGGTCTGGGTAGCTGGCGCATCCTTGGCCGCAGCCAACCTGGCCTTCTTATCCGCACTGGATTCTTCCCCGATGGAAGCTGCCTCGCACTCTGCTTAAATCAGCTTAACCAACTGAGCTTGCCCTTGAACCGTTGGATTGTAGTCAAGGCCGGAGCTGTGCCGGAAAGCACTGACGCGAAAGGCAACCATCGGGCTCATGGCAAGAACCGATGCAGTAGCCGTATCGTAGCCTGAATCTCTGTCGCCCTCTGAAGATTCTGCGCCCACTTGCGCAAAGTAACAAGGGCATCTTCATAGCTTTTGCAGCTATCCGGTTGCACAAGCTGTGAAAGAAAATGCGCACGCTCGCTGCTTCCCCCTGGCAGCCATGCGCAAAGGACCCGAAAGAGAATAGATGCCAAGCCCAATCGGCGATTCATTATCAGATCCTCGTGGACTCCTGGCAGGAGCGTAACGGCTCGGGATTCAACCCGTTGAAAGCGATGAGTATCGAAGCTAGCAACGTTCATACTCAGTCATACTGAATATGCAGGTCGGAACCAGGTCGGAACCGGGTCGCAACCAGGTCGGAAATACTTAATATTGATCTACCTATCAAATACCGCTTTAAGAAGGAAGATGCCTCAAATCTGCAAATTAAGGAGCCCGGCAATTTGATACAAGGGTACTTCGTTCACTAACGGGTTGAATATCCTAGTCCGCAAAGCGGCAAACTTTTAGTCTGTGCGTGAGCCCCACGAGGTTAAGGGTTACCTACTACGCCCCCAAGTTCATGGAGGGAAACTTCTATATATCCCATACAATATTCTTCTTAAGTAAGGGCAAGACCTTCATTCTGCCCCCTCTAATATGAGGGATCTTCTTTCATTGAGAGGCTGAGTTCCTAGTCCAAAAAGGTTAAAGGTTACCTACTCTTAACCTTAAACCCCGAACCCTAAGCACCAAGCCCTCAAGATCATTAAACCCTGCAAACCCTAAACCCTAAACTCTAAACCCGAAAGCCCTAAACCCTAAACTCTAAGCCCTCAAGCCCTAAACCCCTCAACCTCAAGCCCTAAACCCACTTAGGGGGCCCTGCCTTGGTGGCTTTTCAACTCCCCGGGACTCCACCAATATTCCTTAGTTAAGGAATATGCCTCAAAATGTTTATGGAGGTGCCCATATGGGTAGTTGTCAAAACTAAGGTCCCTTTTTGGGTACCCTAAAAAATATTAAGGACCATAATTTTGACAACCACCCACATGAATGTAAGGTAGGTATATTCCATAACCAAGGGATACTGGACTCCCCTGAACCCTAAGATTCCTTGAAGGATCCCCTTCAAAGGAACCCTTCAGGGACCTCCCCTGAGGTTCTAGCGGGCTTGAAGACTGCAATCTTTTGGCCGCCTGCCTTCAGATTGGCCGGGGGGGTTGAGGGTTTGGGGTTTAGCGTTTGAAGCTTAATTTGGGTTTAATTCCCGCTGTGGGGCTTACCTATAGTCTCCATTGTAGTTCCTTTTGTTGGGGTTAGGATCCTTAATCTAAAATTGGTCAAACCAAAAAAAGAACAACAATGGAGACTATAGGTGGGTTTAGGGTTTGGAGAGGCTGGGAGAGCTCATCTTACGACCTTAATGCGGGACATCTCTTGAAATCATGGCAAGAAGCCCTTGGTGTCTCAAGGAGTGTCCCTTCGTGAATGGGAACCCTGAACCTTAAACTCCTCATGAAGGTGAATTGAGCGTCCTGCCAGGGTCGAAGGTGGAGGGGCAACTTTCCCGCGGGCTCGACCGTCCATGTGCACATACCGGGCTACACTTCCCCATGCAGGAACCCACAGGAACCCCTTACGACCTAAGTATAGACCATACAGGTGCATGGACCCTTAGGGGTAGCTGTACTTGATACACGTGTTACCAGGTCCAAACAAGCCATTCCATTGAGCCCTCTCAAATATAGGAGCCTCACTAAGTAGAATAGGGTTTTGGGGGTACAATTTTCCATAACCATATTAAGGGACCCCCGCAATAGTATTGGTAATGATTTAGGCCCCCGTGTTACTTACTACCCCAACAAGCCACCGAAATAAAAGCTAAAACTTTCCGATGCCAACTAAACTGTAGGAGCCCAAAAAGTTAAAAGGTTAGGTATTAGGCAGCTGCCTATAGTCTCCATTGTAGTTCCTTTTTGGGGTTACCTTTTAGGATCCTTAATATAAAACTTGTTAAACCTAAACAAGGAACTATAATGGAGACTATAGGTATTATACCCTATACCCTAAAGACCCCTTATAGGAGCCCTTATAGATCCCCTTAAAGGGACCCTATACCCTACTGGTGAGGTTAGGCACCTCCAAAGCATAGACGTGGCCGGTCTGACCATGGTCCAACTCCACGGGGGACACGGCGTCCTCTAAAGGGAACTCCAGAAAGTTGGAATATGGTTTCAGGGTAGGATACCCTATAATTTACCATAAAGGGTTTAGGGTAATTATATTCCAACTTTCTGGCTTTTACTGTAGGCCTAAAGAAAAGGGGCCTTAATACTTGGAGGCCCAGGGGAAATAGTAAGTGGGCTCCTTAAAGGGATCTATGGGGTTTAGGGTTTAGGGTCTACTTGGAGGGGCAGGGGACTTAGCAAGTAGGTTATAAGTAAGGTTATAAGTGGGGTAAAACCATGTAGGGTACTTATAACCCTACTTATAAGCTACTTACTAAGTTTTTTGGGCCTCTAAGTAGCCTCTGGGCTATCAGGACTTCCTAAAGGGTACTTTCCAGGGTTCCTTTACAGGGTAGAAGGGATCTATAGGGTTTAGGCTTAGGGTTTAGATCCTAAATATGTACCGATACTATTTGCAGGGCTCGTTATTATCATGCTAGTATACTGGGACCCCGAAACCGTATTCTAATGATTAAGGCCCCTGTCTTAGCCTCTGGGCCAAGCTCTGGGAATTCGGGTTTGGTGGGCAGGTCTCCGAGATTAGAACTTCGGATCTACGGTTCCGGGGCTTTGGGTTTCGGGTAATAGGGGACACACTGACTTCTGCCTCGCCTTTATGGTTGGTTTGGGTCTGGGCTCTGGGGACGCAAACACGCAGCGGCATCAGTAGTTGAATAGAGTCCAATAGAGATTTTTGCGTTTGCTACACTGGGTTGATCTGGCGACGAAAAGGGGCTAGTGCGACTAAGTACTGCGACCCCTACATTCGGGTACAGGGGGCACAGTGGCAATAGGAGTTAATTGGGCTAAAGTGTCGGGGTCGATTTCAAGCTCACATAAGCTGTCGCTTTGTAGGGACTTCAGAATGCTGGGGTTTCAGGTTTGGTGGCCTTGAAGGTTGCCGGTATATCAAAATGCATTTAGGGTTGTTATATAGTTTGGGTGACTCGAGTGGGCGGGAATCACGTCTGCATGCCCGTTGTAAATACAAGCAAATTACACGTCCGAAACACGTAGTAATATGCAGCTCTTCTACTCCGTCGGGTATGGGAATATCAGCAAACTCGACACCATAAATGTGCGGTGCATGCAACAGCAGACACAGCCTTTTTTTTGAAAGGTCCGCCTGTCCCACAAAAACCACTCTTACACGGCTTGCAGTGCATTCCTTGCCGGAAGACAGCTGTATACAGCCCGACAGCTTAAACAGCCCGATATAGAAGCAATTACGGCAGGGCCCTTCCCCGGCATCCCGTCCTCAAGGCTTTGAAGGCCTAGGATGTAAGGCTCTTCTATAGACATGCCGACCTCGTGCCCTTGTCGGAAGACGAGAGCCGAAAGATTTGTTCAGCCCACGCCGCAACAGATGCCTGTCCATCTGCTTAAACTGAAATGTACGTGGTCCTGCATCACCTTTCCAGCACATACTGGGTCCCAGTAGCACGAAGTATGAAGTTGAGCAGAACCGCTCCATCTGCCACTACAACAGAGTTCACTGAGGAGCACGCTTCTCTGTCAAGTCAGGCAAAAACAGTTTCAGGTTATATGGGAGTTTCCGAAACTAGGGGACCCTAATATAGTACGCCTAAATAGTCGGACCCTTATTATACGCACGCCCAAAATAAGGTACCCCCCAATTTTTGGAAACTCCCATATGGTCGAGGACGAACCCAACGAGCCTGATCTTGTTCGACTGAGGCATGCATCGCAGAGAGCGGTAGAATAAGGCTGTGGGCATTAGAGCAAGAAGACAATTAGGGACCCTCAGGAAACAGTAGTAGTACTAGTTATTCAGGCTTCTGTATTGCATCAGAACAAGAAGCCTTGTACCTTCGCTTTCTACGCCCATGCACAAAGGAAGATCAGGCTTACCGGGAATGTGTACGCCACTTTACAGCAGCAGATATTACTTGGAGGATCAGGGGACTTGGCAAGTAGGTTTGCAGGAAAGTTGCGAGCCGGTTATCCCAACTCCCTCTGCTATAGACCTAAACCTTAAATCCTGGACCACTCAACCTAAATACCCTAAACCCCCGTACCCTAAACCCTGTAATACGCTCTACCCTAAATCAGGAAGCCCTGCCCTGAACTCTAGGTCCCCTCATCCTGCAGGTATCCATGTTGTCTGAGGCTTATGAGCCTCAACCCTTGCTTGCATAGCAAGCAGATGCTCTCCCGATCTCCCGATCCACCCGAAGGGTTCCTCAAAGAGACCCTTGTAACACTCCTTAAAGGGTTCCTTACAGGGTTTGGGGTTGCCCGTTACAAACATTAGAAGGGTTCCGTTGAGGGTCATACAAGGGTCCCTAAAAGGGCTTATCTTTAGCTCATTACGCAAATCCTCAAACCAGGTTCGGCAACCCAGTCTAGTCTAATGTACGAGCCTGGACCCAGTGCAGTATGATGTACCAGCCTGACAAATTAGAGTAGGGCTTTGCAGTACAATATGATTGATAACTGTATATATACATATGTACATACATATATATATATGTATATATGTAAATATACATATATAAACCAATGTATATGTATTACGGAATCCTAAGGCATGACCTTTGGCAGCTATCAGAGGACATATTCCTGAGCAAAGCTCGGTTGCACAGTTGTCCGCGTCTCCGTGGTGGAAAGGGAGAAACTCTACATCTACTCAGAAGGAGCAGACCAGGTGCCAAACTCTCTCTGCAAATCGGCACCGATCTGACTCTGCAAGCCATGGATTCTTGAAAAGACGGATAGATATATATCTGTACTACCCAGAGAGATCCAAGCCCCTTAATTAAGGAGCGAAGGCCTTTTCGGTTTAGAGTTTAGGGTGCAGGGTTTTTAGGGTGTGCATCGTAGCAAGGCCTATATGGGAGTTTCCGAAAATGGGGGACCCTAATATAGTACTCTGAATAGTAGGATCCTTCTTATAAGGACCCCGAAATAAGGTAACCCCAATTTTCGGAAACTCCCATATATACTTTGAGGAATTGGCCGTTGGGCTCCCTGGGCTACTTGAACCTGCTGTTCTGTTGACCCTTACCGAGTCGAACAGGTCCAAGACGCAGAGGATCAGGGGCCGTGCCTAGACCCCTATACGAAAGTAGGTGAAATTATGGCCCAAAACCTCTAAAAGGCGGTTATTCTGCAACTTTTGGGGTCCAGGTGTATACCCTCAAGCCTAGATTGTTACAGAGCATGCTTACAGGATGATATGTGCAAGGACGAGTCCGTATATACTTTACCTCGTTTGCATGAGGATTGTACTGTTGCAGCTGTCTGGCTACTAGAATATCGTTCTTTTGATTCTTTACTGGCTGTGGAAATTCGGGCGTACCTGAGACACAAACCCTGCACCTTAACAACCCTAAACCCTAAACCGTCAGGGGTTCCGGCACTTGAACAACTTCGAATCTACATGCAATGTCGCGTAAACTCAGAGCCTGAGCACAAAACACCAAACCTACGCTCTAAACAAGCCAATTGGGAGTTTCCGAAAACTAGGGGGACCTTATTTTTGGGTCCTTATCATAAGGATCCTACTATTTAGGGTACTATATTAGGGTCCCCTATTTTCGGAAACTCCCAATCAAACCCCAGACCCCTGAATCCCTCAAGCGGCAAGACCCAACATTGAATCGCAAGTCCATAGGCTCGAGCTCATGCCCGAAACGATTTTGGGGCTGTTGGTCACATTACACAGTAGGTCCGTGGACCCCTGAACAATAGATTCCTCTATATGGTAAGGATGCTGTAAAGGACCCTCAAACGTAGGCCTTGGTAGATTACTGAAGGGGCCACATTACCCTTCGAATCTCAATCAAAAGGCAAGGAAACTGACAAAGCAGACCACACAACATCCTGTCAACTTAAACCCACGAGCCCGAACTGTTCAGCTCGTAAGGTAAAGAACATGATGCGAACTTTTACTTCCAATTTGTGGTCGTAGAAGCCCCCAGAGGAGTTACAGCTTACCTCCCTAGCCCGAAACCCTAAACCCTAAACCCTAACTCTGTGACACCCCCCTGATCCTCTAGGACAGTGTCGACAGTTTCGCTCATTGAAGAGCAAAGCTTGGGATCAAAGCCGCTGCTTTTTCTGCTTTCAGATTCTGCTGCAAGACCTTCATGGGTTCAGGCTCTGAGAAATTGGGGCTTAGGGTTTAGGGATTTAGGGGTTTAGGGCTTGAGGGGTTTGTGGGGTTAGCCGTCCAAGGGTTATTGCAGGTTCAAGGGCCATTAAGGGTTGAGGGTTTAGGGCACAGCTTCCGGGGATTCTGCCTATCGCTAAGTCACGGCTGCACAGGCAGAAATCGAAGCCCTGTCCTAATGACCTTATATTGGGATACGCAATCCCATAACCCAAAACCCAAACCCTAAATGATGATGCCAATGCATGTCGAGCTGCCTTTTGGCGACGCTTCCTTGGATCTCAAACAAAACACGGAACCGCTGATGCCGGAGGTGACTACCGGGTCTGGAACAAGCTAAGACTATCGAGCTGATCCCTGCGCTGAGCACTTCTCCACAAGTCCAAACCGACAACGAAGCCTTCCTTTCTGCCCGCCCTCCCCCGAAAACCCTAGACCCTAAACCCCTAAACCCTACACCCTAAAACCCTAAACCCCTAAACCCCGAAAACCCACTACCCACTTTCAGGCGGCGCACTTCTCCCAGGGTGGACAGATATGACAGAAGGTGCACTCCTCCCCTGCCATGCAGCCTCGGATGCGCTCTTGCTCGAAGGAAGCTACCTATAGTCTGAAGTAGGGTATAGGGTCCCTTTAAAGGGATCTATAAGGGCTCCTATAAGGGGTCTTTAGGGTATAGGGTATAATACCTATAGTCTCCATTGTACCAGTAGTTCCTTGTTTTGGTTTAACCAGTTTTATGTTAAGGATCCTAAAAGGTAACCCCATAAAGGAACTACAATGGAGACTATATCTAGTATGAGGGTTTGGGGTTTGGGGTTTAGGGTTTAGGGAGG